GGTAACAACACCACCGCAAATTCACGTACCATCCTGATTTGGAGTTATCGCTATTCTTTCCCTGTCACTGGGTCAAAATCATTCCTGACAGCATTTTGGGTGCCCCTACACCCTAAGGACTGTAACGTTGAAGAAGAGAGCCCACCAATACCTTCACTGGGGTAATGAAGGATAGGCAATAAATGGCAGTCTATCTAATGACACCCATATCTCATGAACAACTAACAAAAGTACACATGCTCCAATTTCTTATATACATATGCATTTATCTTTAATCATGAGTAGACCATGATGTGAAACAATACATCAATACATTCAAAGTATTTCAAATTCTTTCTTCAGTAATGCAGTAAGGGATTGTGCTAATGGTTTTCTGTTGCTCTGACAAATAAACCATCATTTCAAATTGATTTCCCTGTTACTCAAACTGGCTGTATTGGATGACCCAGACATAGGACAGAGAGGGAGAATGAGCAAGAATGATCAGTCACCGTTTCATTCTTAACGTATCCCCATCGATCAACTGTCCACAAAGTGAAATGCATTTAAAAAATCAAAGTGTGGTCTTATTAGTCATGCATTCTTTCATACTTCGATCAAGCAATTCAATATGTCCAAGTGTACTAACTGAAGAATATTCTCTTTGATCTTTATGGGAATTTGAATATCAATGAAATTGAAACTAAAATTTCCTTTTTCTGAGTCTAACCTTTTATAGATGGGCTAGTGGGCTAGTTGCAGAGTAATGTTCTCTCCATTCCTTTTTAACAATGTATTTTAATTAGTCTCTGAACTGCCGGTCCCAAAGAAGAAATTATATTGCCATAACTTAAAATTGTTTTCAATTAAGTACTACAGTATGCAAGTCATCAATAGGTATGATGATAAAGCGTAATATTTACTAGTGCTGTTTTGTATGACATAGCAATGGAAAGTGCAGATTCAATTTGTTACTACATTCTTTTATGATCCAGAGCTGTTGTGAATCTGTCACACAAGTGAACACGAAACTAGGGATCTCCTGCTCTTGCAAGTGGAGAGTATTTCACAACATTCCTCATTGTACCATGTGTGTGATGGAGAGGCTTTTGGGGAAAGTCAAGAGGTTTTTTAATTTATTCATTCATGGGATGTGGGCATTGCTGGCTAGACCAGCATTTATTGCCCATCCCTAATTGCCCAGAGGGCAGTTAAGAGTCAACCACATTGTTGTGGGTCTGAAGTCACATGTAGGCCAGACCAGATAAAGATGGCAGTTTTCTTTCCTAAAGGGCATTAGTGAACAAGATGAGTTTTTTCCAACAATCAACAATGGATTCATGGTCATCATTAGACTCTTAATTCCAGATTTTTATTGAATTCAATCTACCATGGCGGGATTGAAACCCAGGTTCTCAGAACATTACCTGGGTCTCTGGATTAACAGTCTAGTGGTAATACTATGAGGCTGTTAGCTCTCCTAGGTGAATAACTCACTGCATAATACCCAAAAGTTTGACCTGCTCTTTTATCCATAGTATTTATGTGCTGGTCCAACTGAGTTTCTGGTCAATGATTCACTGATATTTACAAGGTTCTCAAATATTGATTTTAAGATGAGAAACTATTGTGGTCTATATAAAATGAATATAAGACAAAAAATGCTCTACTAAAGCCCAATAGATGATTGTTTTAAGGACTGACTTGACTCAAATCAAAGTTCTCATCCTTTGAGTCAAAAGGTTGCATTGCCTACTGAGGAACATCTCTAACTAGCCCGAAGCAAACTTGACAATGGAGGAGGAACTCCAGCTGTTGAAATCCATATTGGAAGCAACCTATAGGAAACAACAGGGAGGGGATCATGCTGAGATAGCTAAGGGGGTCAGAGACAATGGCATTGTAGTTATGTTTGTGGTTTTACAATCCAAACATCTCGACTCATAGTCCTGGGAATGTGAGTTCAAATCCCACCATGGGAGCTTGAATATTTGAGTTCAATTACAAAACAAGTCTGGAAATGGAAAACTGCTACCAGTAAACGTGACCATGAAGTCATAAAAGCCTTATGTTCTTTAGAGAATGACATGTTGTTCTTACCAAATTTGGAATATATGTAATATATGTCTCAAACCAACATTGTTGTCTTTGAAGTTCTTTGGCACGGATGGTAACTGGGGGTGCACAATAAATGCTGGCACTCTGAGAACGAAGTTTTTAAAAAGTTAAAGAAACGAAATAGGTACAAAATTAAAAGCAAGGTCTCAAGATGGTATCTTCAGAATATTGTCTGAACCACATGCTGATTAGCATAGGGATAAACTGATCAGTGGTAAATGATGTGTTACTAAAACACTTGTGTGTGAACGAGGGTTTCCTTTTAATGGGACACTTGCACCAGTACTTGGCCAGGAGAGGATTAGACTGCTGGTATGAGTCAGACTGAGATTAGAGTCATAGTAGAAAGGCTAAGTGGACTGTGAAGAAAATTTAAGCCAGTAAAGAAGTTCTGGATGGCAAGAATAACAGCACGTAGACAAAATACAGAGATGATAAAAAATACAAAAGGGAATACAGATCATTGAAATAACTAGGGAACTAAGGAATTTTACAGGAAGTAAGAATAAAATAACGTATAAATAAGGCATAAGTGCTGAAATATACTTTAAATTGCTTTTCTAGCAATGTGCCACACATCAACAAATGTGAGAAATACACCGTTACGACATATAGACAGCATAGGGGTAGTTATCTCCTGCGTGTTGGTACACAAATGTATGTAGCACTAGAACTAAAAATAGACAGCCATGAACACAAATTCATCTTGAAGGATAATACAGAAATCTGGTTACAAGCTGGGCATACCTGAGAAATAAAGATTCCGATGAGATCTTCAGAAAGAAGAAGGAAATTGGGAAAGGAATAACAACATTGCTCAAGTGGAGAGAAAAGGCTTCATAAGGATAAACGGGTACTATGTGAGTAGTTTTAAGGAACTGTAAAGAATGGTGGGAATTGCCTACAGACGTCTTGAAAACAGTGGGGAAAATGTACAAATACAGATATTATGATTTTCAGTTCAGTGAGCCACTAATGATGGATACATTATTCATTTTGTGCAATCAAAATTAGTTTTGACCATTCTCAGATCATATATAATGTTAATAAGATCCAGAGCGAAACATCCTGTATTTTATTCCAGTAACATAACAAACCCATCTCAAACCTCTACTAAGGCATATTTTTAAATTATTCATCCATGGGATTATTTATCCTAGTGATTTATCCATCACTAGGCCAGCATTTGATGTCCATTCCTAAGTGCTCTTGAACTGAGTGTCTTGCTAGCCCATTTCAGAGGGTAGTTAAGAATCAATGAGATTGGACATCTGGAGTCACATGTATGCCAGATTGGGTAAGGCTGGCAAATTTCAGACAATTTTTAAAAATTCATTGATGGAGTCTGGGTGTTGATTCTGGCCAGCAGTTATAGCCCGTCTGTAGTGCTTGAGAAGGTGGCGGCGAGCTGCCTTCTTGAACCACTGCAGTCCACACACTATAAATTGACCCACAATGTCCTTAGGGAGGGAATTTCAGGATTTTGACCCAGCAACAATGAAGGAACAGCGATATATTTCCAAGTCAGTATGGTGAGCGGCTTGGAGGGGAACTTTCAGGTAGTGATACACCCAAGTATCTGCTGTCCTTCTAGATGGAAATGTTTGTGGGTTTGGAACATGCTGTCTGAGGATCTTTGGTGAATTTCGGCACTGCATCCTGTAGATAGTACACACCGCTATACTGGGCGTTGGTGGTGGAGGGAGTGGATGTTTGTGGATATGGCGCCAATCAAGTGGGCTGCTTTGTCATGGACAGTGCCAGACTGCTTGAGAGTTGTTGGAACTGCACCCAGCTAAGTAAGTGGGGAGTATACCATCACACTCCTGACTTGTGCCTTGTAGATGGTGCTCAGGCTTTGGACAGTCAGAAGATGACTTCATTGCTGCAATTTCCTTGTCTCTAACCTGCTCTTGTAGCCACTGTGTTTATGTGGCAAGTCCAGTTGAGTTTCTGGTCAATAGTAACCCCCAGGACGTGATAGTAGGGGATTCAGTGCTGGCAGCACTATTGAATGTCAAAGGGTGGTGTTCAGAATGTCTCTTTTAGAGATGGCCATTGCCTAGCATTTGTGTGGCACAAATGTTACTTGGACACTCATCAGCCCATGCTTGGATATTGTCCAGATCTTGTTGCATTTGAGTATGGACTGCATTAGTATCTGAGGAGTTGCGAACGGTGCTGAACATTGTACAATCGTTGGCAAACATTCCCACTTCTGACTCTATAACAGAGGGAAGGTCGACAGAAGGTTACATAGTCACCATCATTTTTGAATTCTAAATTTATACTCAATTTGAATTTCACCATCCCCCACCCTATGGTGTGATTCAAACCCATATTACCAGAAAATTAGTCCATACCTTGTCCAGTGGCATTTACCACTATGCCAGAAACTGCCCCATTGACCACACTTAGCTTCTTTCAAATGAGACTGTCCATTATTACATAATCATTTTTTTGTGTAATGCAGAAGGAAGAAACTTCCGTCTTATCTGGGCAATGTTTAAACTCAGATTCCAAAGATGAAAGTTCTTACTACACTACCCAGTTACCTAAAATGAATTTAGCTTCACCTTGGACTGTGTGCCAGCTTCTGCTTGATTCGAAATTTCAGCTTATCTGCAATGGCCATCGAGTAAAAAGGAATTCTAGAAAACATCTGAAATGATGCAGTCTATAGAAACAGTATTAAAGAATGTTAATTGTAAAACTGGCACTTCACAGACTCTAATGTCTGGTTTGCTGAACCTCATTAACCTTTACTGCTTTTTCATCTTGTTGGTAGGCAGTCAGACTGTAGTTTGATATATTTAAGGTTCTCCTAATCTGCTGTAAATGAAGAAAAGATCAGTAGTGTTATTGTGGGTTTGCTTACATGTATTTCATTTACTTTAATCTAGATCCTTGGAGAAAATATGAAACTGGAATGCAAATGTCATGGAGTGTCAGGATCATGTACCACTAAAACATGCTGGACAATGCTTCCCAAATTCAGAGAACTGGGCTACATTCTGAAAGAAAAATACAATGAAGCAGTTCAAGTTGAACCAGTAAGGACGCATCGAAACAAGCGACCAGTCTTCTTGAAGATTAAAAAGCCACTTTCATATCGTAAACCTATGGTTACAGACTTAGTCTACATTGAGAAATCCCCTAACTACTGCGAGGAAGACCCAATCACAGGGAGCGTTGGGACACAAGGAAGAATGTGTAACAAGACATCCTCGCAAAATAACAGTTGTGATTTGATGTGTTGTGGACGAGGATACAACACTCACCAGTATTCCAGGGTCTGGCAGTGCAACTGCAAATTCCACTGGTGTTGCTATGTCAAATGCAACACCTGCAGCGAAAGAACAGAAGTTTATACATGTAAATGAAATTAAATCCTTTATAGGGAGGACAGTCAAATCCTCCAAAGAAAATACTCCTAAATTTGCACATGATCTCAATCTAGTGGCTGTGAGTTTGCAAATAATGTCTCGCTTTCCTATAGAGTGCAAAAGCTTGAGGATCCCTGTCTGATAATGTTGCCAGATTGATGAGCCCAGCTGGATTGCAAAGAGAATATAGCACCTGTTGCCATCTCCATAAATATAACCACACAGATTTTAAATTCATAAAGCCTATTTCAATTAGTGCGTTGAAATAAATCCAGGTCTGAACAGAAAATGGCACAAGGTTGAAAAAGCCATAGTGAAATCAGCAGTAACTTGGCTTGAAAATAATACCCTTTAAATATGGACTATAAACAGGACAGGGTTGACAATGCCCTTGTGAGAATTTCTGCTTTGAGTGTGGATTATGCAGATTTAGGTTTCTGCATTTGTGAAAAGCTTCTGCTTGTCTTGCCTGTCTGGATCTCACAGGATTGGCTACAGCAAGTATTACTGTTTTCAGTTTCCCATAGACACTGACTTATCAGCTTTTTCTTTTCTGCCACATTTTTTCACGGCCATTAAGAAAACCATGGTGGACTGGGGCACTTGGACATAATGACTGACTATACCAGCAACATTAAGTAAATAGTAACGACAATATTTAACAATATATTTAGAGAAAAAGAAACTAATATTAATTTATTTAAAAAGAACTTGGGATACTTCTACAAAGAAAGAGTTTTATATTCTTTGTGGAAAATTTCTTTAGATACAGCAAGAATTGAATTTGTTTGGCTGTATATATTAGGTTTTGCTCAGATATTTCTAACAGCTGTATTTGCAGGAATATTCTATATCCTGCAGCATCAGGCTTTTTACTGACAAAAGCAGGCATCTTTTGTAAATCTTCTGCTGTTTTGCTGCTAGTTGTCTGGAAAATCAAACTGGTTGTGATCCTTTAAACTACTGTAAAAAAAACTTGATTATTTTTCACTTTGAAATGTCAACTAATTATAAGTCATTTGAGCTAAAGATTATCAAATTTGATACTCCAGACAAATTCCATCATGTGGAAAAAGGAACCATAGGTTGAGAGAATATATTTTGTAAGAGACTATTTTTATATGAATATTTTATTTATACTGTTTCTGCTTGTATAACTCTATAACCAGTACTTTTCTTAAAACATGCATAAAAGCTGTGATTATTTGTAATAGATCTGAGGGAATTTAACAGACTTAAGACTGATTAGTTTAAGGACAGAACAGAGGCAAGCTGGATAAATTCAGATTCAACTAGTAGATGCGTCAAAAATGCACAGTGAACTTTCTTAGATTAGCTGTATCTGGATGTGTGTGTTCAAACTGGCTCATTATTGCATTTCAAACTGCAGAATATGCAAAACAAGAACAGGGTATGTAGCATCAATTTTGTTAGTTGGCTTGAATTCATGATTGGTATTAACTGGATACTCACTTATCCCTTTCAGAAAAAAAATGAAATTGCTTCCCGCATGCATCAGTCATTAAAATGTGGGGTTATGACTAGCAAATCTGCTGTGTGTGCTTTGAGATAAAGCTCCATATTGTGAAAGTGTCAGATTGATTTCGTCATTGCTATGCTTTAGACTGTGACTGTACAAACTAGCACTATACACACTGTCTGATTCACACAGATAACAGACAGAGCTGTTATCTATAATAACAATGAAAAGTGGTCTATTTCTTTCATAAAGAATGCTGAGAATTCAAGAACACATTCACTGTTTAGCACTTACAGTGCAGGTACATCTTGCATATTTTTTAATTTTCAAGTTCCACAACCATGGAACTTTAAGCTTCTACCAGATTATATATGATCAAGAGAATGCAATTTTTTAAACTAGTTCCAAGACATACAAATGAAAATATCAGATTTTGAAGGTTTTATCTGGTTAAGATAATGGCACTTAGTTAAAATAATTAATATTCATGGACTAGAATGTAGTGCAAACTACGTGCCCATTCTGATTTCTCGCCTCTCTGAAAATATTCTTGATATTTAATTTTGACACTGTTTCCCAGAGTGTTTGCTTTAGGCATATATGATATGTAATCATCTCACTAAAGCTGAACATCCACTTTTGAGAGTTGTCTTCCTGCCAAGAAAGGAAAATCCTATGCCAGATGTCATTGAAAAAATTAATAATTAAAAACAAACTTCTCAAATATAGTCCACTTGTTTAGATGTGTGTAAAAAATACACACCAGAGTCCTGCAACATGTATAATCTATCTCATGGACTGGACCATGATAATTGCTCAAAGTTCTTGTCTAGACTTACATGTACATCTTAGACACAATTGATATGAAAAAGACTGTTTCATAAAATGCATACTGCAGCATTAAATAGCTTTAAAGGCCTCCCCACATGTTATATATGTCCATGTATCATAAACTGCTGCACTTTGCAGAACCCCAAATTAAATAATTAGCATAAACTGAATGTGAAAAAGTAAAGGTTGTAACTTATTTTATGTCCATTTTATCTTTAATTTATTCATGCAAGAATTGTTATCTTCCCTACTATATCAAAGCATAGCCGTCTGCATAATATTAACCTCACAACAATCTAAGCTTATTAACATAGTTTCTTAATAATTTCCAAATAAAATCCTCAAAGAGTCAATGGATGAAATCTATATACCACAAAGATATAACCTCTAACTGATAACCTAAGAATAATTCAATCAACTTTAAGATACACAATGTGCTTAAGAAAGAGAGGTATTTTAGCCTCAATTTAAGAAGGAAAAATCTGAACAATAGGTAGTAAATGGTCAATGCCTCATTCATTCATTAGCTCCTCAACCAAGCAGCCATGAAGACTGATGTAACATTTCACCTTTTAATAACAGGATGAACGAAGACATTGCCAACATCTTATGGTAATAATTATGCAGCTAAAACTGCCATTCTGATGTCTTGCTTGGACAGGAGGAGTGGTAACAAAGTAGTGATAGATTGTTCTTGCATCAGTCTGCCACAGTGACATCTGTTTTATTCAGAGCTCTACCACAAGTTGCTACAACAACGCCAAATTGCTTTAGAAAATGCTGAATTGTTGCTGAGAGAATCTTGACTACCCATTACTGAAATGTTAACTATGCAAAACTAAGTAGCATTTGGGAGCCCTTTATCCAAAAGTAATGTAATGATTGGAATGGGGTTGAGGGAAAGAAGATATAGCAAATGATCGTTACATCCCTGCTGTTGGTTTTTGCTGTCTTCAAAAGAAAACAAAAGCAAAGAAGTAGTGAAACTGTTTGATTCACAATTATCTTGTTCTTAAAATCAAACTGTATAAATCATAAACAGACAAAAAGCAGAGCTTCTGTATCTGAAGTACAACCTCCCCTAGCCAGATCATCTCCGCAATGCACATTTTTGTTGTAAATTTGGTTTAATGTATTGCAGGATGCTTTTAGTACTGCACAATAGTAACATTATTTCCTCAAATTTGTCACTTCGTTTATCTTCCAAGAAAACACTAGCACTTCAATTGAAATTTCACAGACCACATTCCCAAACTTCTCAGAGTCACATGTTCCACAAATTATTGAAAATTGTTGAATCCAAAACCAAAGTCATTTTTAATTTTACAATACCCAAGTGCAGCCAACAGTAGCTAACAAACACATATTCTGAAATAAAAATATACTGAATATCAAACTAAACACATGATCAGATTTCTATGTGTATGGACTAACAGCAGTTTTCAACATTTCACCACGACTGGTCATAAATCAAAATCATTCAAGTCACACAAAAAATTCTGGTTCATCAATTACTAATATTGCAAAATCATGTATTTGACGGAGGAGAACAGAGAATTTTGTTTATGTTTTCCTCTCTGTAATTGCAACATTTAAATGAGACTTCTGAATCAAAGGGTTTGAATGGTATAATACACAGATGACATATTAATTTCTATCCCTACTTTAGTTCAGGAGGATATAATTGATGCGGAAAGAGTTTAATCCCAGCCTATGCAGATGTTCATCCTATTCTGACAAGTACATTTCTAGAAGGAGTGTGAGTATCAGTTTTATTCCAGAGATCTGTACTTCTGATCGTTGGGAAAAAAAAATCATACAAGCCATACAGCAAATGTTTACATTTCAAAATGCTATCACAAATCATATTAAACATTATTTTGTCAGAAGTGAAGAAAACTATCAAGGATTTTCTTTGCTATGTGGCACTAGAAACTCAAAAAAAGCATGTAGTGCTGTAGCATCATTTCTGTCAATGGATCAACTTGTAAACACCCCATTATATTTATGATTTAAGGTCTAATTAAAATCAAATTCATTTTGTAATAAACTTAACAATGAGTGAGTGGATATATGAAAATTCATATAAATTTTTAAAATTGAAAGTAACACGGTCACTTTAGGACACGTATTTTGATAAAGACTGGTATATGATCACATGGAGAATTATTGAAATTTGACTTCTTGCCTACACCCTAAAGATAAAAGTTTAAGTTTTTGAAACACTATCTCTATCTGTTCACGAGTAATGGTTCAAAAACATTATCCATTTTTTATTCCTGTATGAATATACAATTAACATTCAATAATAACTGTTTTACTATCTTTCATCAAATTCACTCAGGTCCTTTAGGGAAGGAAATCTGCTTTTCTTACCTGGTCTGGCCTCCAAATCACTCCAGGCCCACAACAATGCCTTAACTTCCCATGGGGCAATTGTGGGCCTAGCCAGTGATGCTCACATCCCCTGAATAAATAAAACATGTAACCCAATTTGCCAATTGTCTATAGCGAGATAACTTCAAATTTGAATGCCTGACTGATGGCAATGATGAATTCTACAAGCCCCCTTACCTTTCATTTCCTCTTATATCGTTTTAAACGTTGTTATTACTTTATTCACGTAGACTAAAAACCATATTGAACAGGAGATAAACAATGATGGTGAATAAACTACAACATCATCAGCATATGCAGCACAGGCTCTTGTGTGATAATGAATTGTATTAGCCTTAATATTCCCAAAAGTTCCCATGTCCATTTACTTGTTGCAGTTTTTAGAAGTAACAGAGATCCCTGTTAGATGCTACTCCTCTTCCGATTATTTGATCAGATTACGCAAGTGCAATGCACCAGCTGCATAAATTCATCTGTACCTTTTACTCATTTTAAGGGCTGGTAGACCAGAATACGCACATTACAATCTCCTTAGCGACTGATAACTTATTGTTTTAAAAGTCATGAATTTCTCTGTGACCCTTAGAAAGGACTGCAGGCCAAGATTTTCTATTTTAAAACTTTTACTATAGCAATCTCACAAAAATCAACAATGACTAAATGTTGCTAGGTAACAAATACATTAAACTACAGAAAAGGTATTCCATTTTAACCTCTTATCAGAGCCAAAAACACAATGCCATGCCTATACGTTATACCATGCTTTCAGCAAAAAATGTAGTCCTAAACTTAAAAATCCTAAGCTCTTTCTGATTTAGCAAGATCTCATCCTGTCCCACTAGGTTGAATCCACCAGTGTCCTTTTAAACAAAGGCTGCTTCGCTCAATCCTCTGAGCATAATTGAATAATCCAACTCTATTACAACCAGGTAGCTGTACATTATCTCTTAACTTTTGGCATCAATCTGATTATTGGAAGATGTGGCTATGCAGACTTGGCTTAATGCATTATTCTGAGAAAATGGGGAATTGCATAGTCCTAGCTCCCATACAATTGCCTTTGCTTCTAGAACAATGGCGCTATTAATGCATTACAAGAGCAGGAAGTAGCAAATAGAATATTGATTTGATAAAGCCGAACATTGTCAAAAAAGCCCAATGAAAATGGGGTATAGTAAAAGCAAAGGAAAAAGAAAACAATTATCTGCATTCATTTAGTGGCTTTCTTGATAACAAGGTAATATAAAGCATTTTAGGTATGTTTGGAGTGTAGTCACTATTGTGATAGCAGGTACACAGCAGCCAATTCTGCATGCTGCAAAATCCCGAAAAACATCAGAATAGTTGCTACGCAATTGTCTTTAGACATTAGATGAAGAATAAATGTTGACAAGGACACTCTCTGTCCTTCTGTACAATATTGTTATGGGATCTTTACTTCCAATTCAGGAGACAAATGGGGTCTTAGTTTAATACTTCACCCAAAAGCCTACATCTTTTGGAAAGCAACAGGGTCTCAGTGTTGCATCATAATATCAGCCTAGATTATGTGCTCAAGTCTCCAAGGCAGGATTTGAACTCATAAACTTGTGACTCGCAGCGGAACAACAAAAAACAAATGTGCTTTGTGTAAGTGATAAATGTGTATTTCATTAATTTCTAAATAAGGTTATTTTAAAATTTGGGTTTTGACTTAAAGAGTAATAGATGGAAAATCTTAGGCAGGTGAGTACAGAATTGGAATTTCTACCCCCAGGTTTTTAGTTTGATTGAACAAAACATCTGAATCAAATCTGGTTTTCGGACTCCTGTAAAATAACCTGAAGCAGTTAGTTTTTTGATGGAGTTGTATTTACAAACATAAATTTTATCACGTACTTCTTATAGCACCTGCATACACCTGGACTGAGGCAGTATATGTGATTTATGGTGAACGCTCAGGTACTGCTTTGCTGGAGGTATGCCATATCCATTGTCTGTTATAATTCTGCTTCAGAACAATCAATCCAACTTACCGCAGAATCAAGCTGAAATTCTTTAATGATTTTCAATTTACTCTATTAACCATATAATATCAATATACCATATAACTCCATTTAATCAAATCCTACATGCATTTATTATCTTTCTCAATTCTTTTAATACAAAAAACTGCAAAAGCATTGTAAGTATAGAAATACAACTGAATATCCATTATAACAAGGATATCCATGATAAATGATTTACTATAAATTGAATAAACCCAACTCATCAACTCAATTACCTGTTCAACCTCTTTTTCTGTCATTGCACCCTGAAGCATGCCGCATTTCTTGGACGAAGTTCCTTTTTCCATTGATGCCTTCAAAGATTTGAATTTTTGCATTTATTTATAGTTCAACAATAAGATCACCCTCATCCTGAATAAATCAGGCCCCTAACTAATCTCAGGTTGACAGTACAAATAACTTAATCTCTTTCAGACCAAAATTGCCATTTTCTCATGATTGATATTTCAGCTCCTATTACCCAAAACACTTGGGTCTAAAAATTGGTTATATCCTGCATTAAGGTGTGTAACCTATGGCCGAGCATCAGCACACACCATGCTTCAAACTGGCATTAGGCCTCGGGCCTCATTTATGTTATTTGGGTGAGCTGCCAGTACAAGAGATGACTACACAAGCAGCTCATCCACTTTACACAGATTAGTGTCAAGCCACTTACATCACTAGTAATAATGCAAAGGGAAGCCTTGGCAGTTGGTAAGGTTTGATTGTGAAACCAGGAATATGGAGAATTCCTATTCCTCCTGGTTTCACAGCAACATGTTATTTTAATATTTTCCTAGAAAAAAAACTCTTCATTGGTAGCTGCTACTCACATTTCGTTGACTATTGAAGAAAACTTATTGCAATGCAATTTCTTCAAAGAGACCTAAAATAGATCTGCTGTCCTTCAGTTACAAATGTAAGGAGTCCAACAGCTTTTTTAATATCTACAAATGAGTGCTGAAAATAGCCTACCCTAGCAGTGGGTCAGGTATTGTTCGATTGATCTTGGAGAACAGAACATTTGTATCTAAATCTGTCTTCTATTACCTGTAAAAATGGGTACAGTGAGGTCCAATTTTTACTTTCAATGCCTTATCGCTTAATCGTTATTTTGTTTTAAAAGAACAAGAACTATGATATGATCTAGCTAATGAAATCCCAGACAGGATGATAACAGTCTCATAAAGGTTTGGCTGGTCTGATAAGAACTCTTGATGTGGAAGTCTTTATATACAATTTGATACTATTTAAGGATCTCATCATGAATTTTGTTTAAATAGTTATGCCCTATTAAAATTAGAATATCATAACTGATGAAACTTTGTGAAACTTTCAGTGTGACTTATGTTTCAAAAAAATCAACAATTATCTGCACATATTTTTACATAACAATTTGCAAATGCTTAATCACAGAAATCTTGGGGCAAAACTTTAAAGTAAAATTGAGTGCAGTCTTGATCTAAAAATTCTATTGTTGTCCAAAGATTGTCTTGTTGTACAAAGTGACAAAGTTATGCATCAATTTTTAATTTGATACAGACCATATTTAATAATATCTTGTAGGATTCAATATTAAACTATAATTGATATAGGTGGCCACGTATGAGGAGAAACTTCAATTGTGTGAGCCACAATCTGAAAAGAGGAGATTGCACTAGTTTGTACAAAACAGCATGCCAATTTAAGATTATAGATTATTGGGAAGTTAACTGAGCATGACAGTAGTTTTTTTAAAGGACATTACTAGGTTCTGCAGATGTAGAATACATTTCATCTTTTGAGAAATGTCTGTAATAAAAAGTGTGCTTTATTCCCATTCAGTGGGCAATCTAATTTAGTATCATAAGTAAGAATTCCAACAATCAGTCACAACATGAAATTATCAGCTGTTTAAAGAGCAGGATGATGGAGATGATGGAGAGAGCAGTTGTTCATTGATCAATGTGGTTGAAGAATGAACATTACTTAGTGAGGAATTAGCAATTTTATTGACAAGGCTACAAAACTTCGAATAGAAAGATGCAAGGAATGGAGTATACATTTTCTGGGAGTATTTGGCATGCCTTCACCTGCTGATCACAACCATAAAGTATCTGAGGAGAGACCAAGGAATACATGGAGCAACAGTGAATGTAATGTGTATGTCCTACAGGAATTGGAAACATAATAGAAAAGAGTCAGACCTTCAGAAATTTAATGCTACTTGTTTGAAAAAAATTCTCTTCATACATGTAATTATGTAGAATATAAAGCTTAAAAATACACCCCTCAACCCACCTCTGCCACCTTTCCTGACGAAATTCACCAAAAATTCACCAATAACAAGATTGTCCTACAATGAAAGGCTGAGTCTATTGCGTGTATATTCTCTGGAGTTTAGGAAAATGTGACATTGAAACGTACAAGATCCTGAAGGGGCTTGACATGGTAAATGCTGAGAAGTTACTACTTCTGGCTGGGGATCTAAAACATGCAGAGGGCACAGTCTGAGGATGCAAGGTCAACTATTTAGAACTGAGATAAGGTGAAAGTGCTTCACTCAGAGGCTGAAATCTTTGGAATTCTCCACTCGCGAGAATTGTGA